AATGCAGATGGTAGTGTCTATACTGATAAAATATCAGGGCTGGGGGTGGGGACCCTATACTAAAAGATTAAAATCCTGGTTTCCTCTTAAATACAGAGAGGATTACGAATGGTTTCCATTATGGTATAATGAAATCTCATTTTATGTCATACGTTAACATTCAGTATAGTCCAATTCACTGACATTTGATGCATCTACAAATGGGTCATGCTCTGTGCTGGGCTGACAGCCAGGTGTTGGGAAGGGGAAAAAGACAGGATGTGGCTGCAGAAAGACTAAACACCGTATGACTTCAGGAAAGTCACTTAACTTCTCTGAGCTTCATTCTTCTCTTTTTTAAAACAAAGAGTTGACAGTAATTGGGAGATGCAAATGAAGGAACAGACATGGAGGTTCTGGGCATGTGGTCATCACTGGGCATTATCTTATACAATCGCTGAACAGTCCCATTTCACAGGGGAGATAACTGAGGCTCCAAGGGGTAGACTAGAAAGTCCACAGTCACACTGATAGTAGGTAATGGAATCAGGATACAAACTGTCTGATTCCTAAGTTAGAAACCCCCCAAGCCAGGTCTGTCTACCCTTGTACTGCCAGTCTCTACTGTTTTCCAGATTGGGGGGTCGTTATGAGTGAAGACCAACTAACAAACCTAACAACAATGACTTATGTGTTTATCGTTAGTCTAACCCATTTGAAGGTCGGCTCCATGAAGGCTGTATTCCCCTCAACTAGAACTACACCTGGCACATAGTGGGTATTCCATAACTATTTGTTGAACCCTTGGACTCACAGATATAAAATATCACTTCTTCAAGGTCCAGTTGATAAGGGCAGAGGAGGACTCAGGTCCCTAACACCCATTCAGCACTACTCTGAAAGCCAACAACCTCAGTTCACAAGCTCATCTACTACCCTGCCTTTGGCCACCCAGGATCATGGGAACAAACTTGTCTAGTTCCGGGGAGGGTCAGAAGAAAAGTAAAGATGGCTCTGTTCTGTTCCTGCTTCTGCTGACTGTACCTCAGTTTCTCAGTCTGAAACACAGTACTTGTCACTCAGCTGACACAGGATGGAGAAGGATTCAGGAAGACAATCAGACTTGGTCCTTCAAGCCTCTCTCCCGCCACTATCTAGCCATCAAACCCATGCTCTGGTGGGGAGGATGTGGTGGTGGTGGTGAGAACGACAGGGTCAGAGTTGGCAAACACCTCGTTTTTCTGATGCTATCACTATAGGCTAGACAAGAACACAGAGGCCCAGGGAAGAGAAACAGTTGGCTAAGGACATGTGTGACAGAGACGGCAGGCCCAGGTTCGAGCCCCAGAGAACCTCAGACCACAAACTAAAAGAGAGCCTGGTTCTTGTCTCCCAGCTCAGGGCCCTACTATCCAGGAGTAGAGGCAGAGACAGGGAAAGAATGCTATCTGTGTCTTGGCCACAAGGCTGACTGACACAGACTGACAGGCCAAGCCATCCTGGCCCCCAACTCAGACCCTGGAGACCACAGCA